AATTTCGGAGATTTGGGGAAAGGAGTTTCTCGGTGTTTTGGGCACCTTTGGCTGGAGGAGTATCGTGGCTTGTTCCGGAGTCAACACTGCCCTTGGAACGTTTTGGAGGAGTTCTGGTGAGCGGAGAGATCATTCCAGCAGAATTTTATTCTTTTGATATTTCCGTAAACTATCCGGTGCAGTGATCAGAATTCGGTTGTTTTTTTGATTTTGTCGACGTTTAGCGTCGGGCGATATGACGCCATTTTAGAGTGAGTAGTTGTTGGGACGAACTCTTATTATCTGCTCGGCAGTGGTTAGCCTCTCTCGTAAATCGATTTTGCGTTTAAAGTGAACATTTGTTATTCTTTTAGTATTCGTTTAGTACTCGTTTGTCTCAAGTAAATTCAGTGGGTTTTTTTTATCATTAATGACTCTCGTTTCGGCAAGTTGGTTGTCGAAGGTCGGATGTGGACATCTCGACAGCTAGCTAACATTTTCGTCATTCAGTTGATTTCCGATGTTCGATGTTGTTTTATGGTTTGATCAATTTCTTTTGGGGTTCAAATATCGGAATCATTTATCGCAAACGCCAACTGGGATTGTAGCGTCTTTCGACGCTCGAGTTATGTATCGTGACCTTGTGTACGGTCATTAGTATTGTGTTGTGTCTCTCGAGGCAATCCCACTTGTCATTGCTGGAGTCAATTCTCTCATCTATCATTTGATATTTTAAATAATTCCTCTCTCTCAGAAAATCGCGATTCCTTCCAGTGATGTTTGATTAGTTCAGTTTGCTAGTCATTTTTACTGTTTGACATTTTCTCTTGACTTTTATTGATTTGACTGATCTTTTAACTGGCTAGTAGTTAATTAATTCGACAATTCACGGTTAGGGAATTTTGGATGTATCGAGTCTTTAGTTTTTTTTTTTTAATTGGATATGAATCTAACAAACTGTTTGAATTCTCATTAGATATCTAAGGGATGAGAAAGGGGGTTATTGAATAAACTATTTTATTCCCCGCGTTTTGGAATTTGGCGATATATCTAGTTGAGAGAACCCAGTCATTTCAGGAATCGTCAGGACAACATTTTGTGGAACCCAGCCGCCACCGTGGTTGTCTGAGCTGTCGGCAGTTGTCCGTTTGTCGGAGAATTGTTGGAATATTTTGTTGTTTGCATTTTCTTTTGCATGATTCAGTCGTGCTGGCGTCCGACTTTTGTTTTGTGATCTGGTCGCCGAGGGCTGCGTATTTTCGTATCGTCCGCAGAGGTGCGAAATACGTCACAATTGATAGAAAAATAATTGCTAACATGGTAGAGAGTGATCCAGTAATTAACAGATATATAACGCGACGTGTTGCTGCCAAAGCAAATGAAACCCTAACCAAAGAAAGTTCAGTCGAAAATAGTGAAATGAATGTAGAGGTCCCTGAAACAAATATCAAAGTTCCAGCCGAGAAAACCAAAGATGAATCATCCAATATTAATTCAGAGATTGTTCAAGACAATAGTGTCAAAATTAAAGAAACAAAAGAACATTATACACAGTCGAATTTTGATTTTTCAATTTGTGATAGAAAGATAACCAATCCTGATGAGATCCAAACAAAAGAAGTAAGAGAAAGATTTCAATTTCTTTGAGGCCAAAAAGAATCCATTCAAAAGGAATAATTACGCTATGTTATGGCACGTCAGACTCGGTCATATATCCGTGGAATATTTGAGAGCTTTACAAAGAAAATTTCCCGAAAATAAAGAATTGTGTCGAGCCATTTTGATGAATCAATAGCCGAATGCGAAGTGTGTCTTGCGTCGAGATTAGACAAATTACCGTTTTCAAAAGTGCGAAGCAGAGCATCGAATCCTCTGTAGGTTATCCATGCCGCTGTCATGGGACCAATTTCTTCGAGCTCCCATCCCAAAGGTTATCGCTATATTTCCGTATTTGTCGACGACAAATCGCGATTTGCAATGGCTTACCCTATGAAGGCGAAAAGCGAGACGGGTCGCTGCCTTGAGATGTTCGTGAGAAGTGGCAGAAATCTGTTAGGGTATGATGCGAAGGTTTGTTACCTTAGGTCCGATCAGGGAACATAATTCACAGGCGGTCATACTGTTGAAGTTCTGAGAAGCTTAGGTGCGGAATTACAATTGGCATGTCCTGATACGCCTGAACATAATGGAGTTGCCGAGCGATACAACAGGACAATCTAAAGGAAACTGCGAGCGTATATGTTTGATGCTAAATTGCCTGAGTATATGTGGGATTTAGCCTTGTCAGCTGCGACTTATAGTTACAATCGAACTCCACATAAGTCGAATGACATGAAAACTCCTTTGGAAGAATTTGCTGCAGGTCATAGCCTTAACATGAATCAAATCAAAAGATTTGGAAGCTTAGCCTGCATGAAAGTACAAAGAAAAACAGGTCCAAAATTTAGAGCAGAAGGAGTAAGAACAGCTCTGGTTGGCTATACACCAACAGGATATATTCTGCTAAGACCTGAAGAAGGGAAGTACTTCGAGAGCAGACACGTGAGATTTAATGAGAGGAAAGTTTATGGCGATGTGTATAAGAAAAACGAAATCAGAGATTCTCCAGAAATTTGTGATGAGATTGATAAAAATAAATGGTTTATTGAATTTAAAAGCAATGAGAATAATTCAAAAGAGTCATTGAGATTGGAGGGAGAGCCTAAGAGAAGAAGAGGCAGACCAAGTCAAGAAAATTACAAGCCACCTATGAGTCAAGACAATAAATCTGCAGCAGGAAAAGTGCAAGACTCGAGTTTTGTCAATTTACCATTAGATGAGAAATTAAAAGCTGAAGTATTTCTTTCATGCTTACTGCGAGATGAGACAGAAATTGATCTGGAAGAATCTACTGATGAAATCTATCATGCTCTGCTGGCAAGTGCCAACTCTGATCCAATAAACTACAAAAATGTAATGTCGAAAGATGATAAATTAGATTGGATCCAAGCAGTGGAGGACGAACTCAATTCGATGAGCAAGAATAAAGTGTGGAGAGTCGTGGACAGGCCAATCAGCTTGGAAAACGGACAGAAAGTAAACGTTATCGATTCGCGATGGGTATTCAAACGTAAACTTGAGACTAATGGAAAAACGAAACACAAAGCGAGACTTGTTATTCGAGGGTTTAAGGACAGAAACGTTCATGAATTACGTGAGACTTACGCTCCGGTATCGAGGATGAACCTTGTCTGACCTGTAATTGTGATTATAAATAAATACGAATTAGAGGTGTGTCAATTAGACGTAAAAACCGCATTTCTTAACGGAGTAATTGACGAGGAAATCTACATGGAACTCCCTAAAGGCACTGATCATACCATTCAAGAGAGAAAAACTAAAGTTTGTAGATTGGACAGGGCTCTTTACGGACTTCAAATAAGTACAAAGCGATGGAATGTACGATTTACTGAAGTCGCTCAGGGAGTAGGTCTTGCGAATTCTGATCTAGAACCGTGTTTGTTTACATGGAGAAATGGAGATAAATTCCTAATTCTATTGTTGTATGTGGATGACATCTTGTTGTCAAGTAATGATAAAGATAAACTAGAGGAGGTAAAATCTAAACTGAGCTCTGAATTTGATATCACAATTAACGGTGAGCCAAAAGAATTTGTGAACATCTCCATTAAGCGCAATCGAGAAAATAAAATCATTAAACTGAGCCAGGAGAAGTATATCGATAAAATTCTGAAGAAATATGGCTTTGATGACTCTCTTCCACAACGAACTCCTATGATAACAACACAAGCTAGTAACCATGAACGTAAGATAAGAGAATCCAAAATCGATGGTGAAATTCACACTGGCGATGGGGAAAAGATAGATTGTCCATATCATGAGATTGTGAGTAGTTTATTGTATCTATCAGGTACAACGAGACCTGATATTTCATATACGGTAAATGTCCTGAGTAGACATAAAATTAGTCCCACAGAAGATGACTGGAAAATGGTCAAAAGAGTGCTCGGGTACTTGAGAGGTACAACAGTCTTCGGACTTCGATATACTGGTGAAACAGACGATGTTCAAGGTTTTTCTGATGCGAACTTTGCGGATTGCAAGGACTCGATCACTATCAGTGGTTACGTAATCAAATTGTTTGGTGATTCTATCATCTGGAGAACACACAAACAAGCTTATGTTGCTCTGTCTACCTGTCAAGCAGAATCCGTTGCGATGAGCGAAACGAGCAAAGAGATGTTATCAATCTACAATTCTCTGAAACTCATGTTCGATCCTCCATTACCGATGTTGTGGTGGTGCGATAATAAAGCTGCAACTTTCAGTACAGAAACTAGCGGAGGAAATAAATTGAGGCACATTATTGATGTTAAGGCTCATCACATCAAGGAATGTGTTAATTTGAATCTTATTAAAGTCCAATGGATTAGATCTAGAGATCAATTGGCCGATGTTTTCACAAAACCTCTGGCGTTTGAATTACACAAACGTCAAGTTGACATCATCATGAATGTGAATATCTAATCTATTTATTTTATATGTTTAGGAAAGGAGAAATAATGAATTTTGCTAGGAGCAGTATAAGGACCAGGAGAGTTGAGACGAGGAAACTGCCGGGAGGGAGTGAAAGATTAGAGAGCGACAGCTCCTGATATTCTACGTTCATAATTCTATCTATTCATATGTTCTTATTCATGTTATAGTGGGCGCCACTGCGCACTTGCGCGTGTCGTTCTTCTCTGCCTGGCATGGCTTTGTTTATTCGTGGTGTACACGTCGAGACGAGTATTTGTATTCTTTATAATAAAACCTATTTTTGCACGTTCTACGCCGTGTCTAAATTGTTATCCAGAACCTGCCCAATCCAACACTTATGGAAGTCTCAACTTCCGACTTGGAACTTTCTACTTGAGAATTCCAAAAGTTTCGATTTAGGATCTATGGATTCTCAAAATAAGCTTTTTTTCTTGTCTAAAATGATAATTCAACAACTGGAACTAACAAACTTACCGTTGCAGATAACAGAAGGGGGGCAGGACCTCAAAGAGATCGATAAGTGGTACAACTTGATGACAATTGATGAGTTCCAAGCTTTCTATGACAGTACAGGCATGACCGCCCCAACTTCCAGGGTAAAACCAAAATTTTTGTCAATTTTTCACTTCAACAAATGACTGAATCAACATTTTTATTAGATCAATTGGCTTGAAATGATCAGAGAGGTGCTATCACTGACTCCGGAGATTACAGTAGATGGATCAGAGCAAATATTGGTGCCTGGAAAAGTATATTTCACAAAGCTCGCTTGGGTGTTAAATCAAACTTCAGCAGAAGTTGTCGGTAATACTTCAATTAAAAATTCTATTGTTGAAATTTACAAAGTACAAGTGCAACACTTATATTATCTGCAATTTCTTGAATTACTTTTTCTGTCGTGCTATAAGAGGCCGTGGCTAGTATTTAATGCTTACTAGTCATCTACGGGGTCAAAATCCTTAATCAACAATTATATTGTTTTATCCCGGTGTTCTACATTGCCCCACCATTCCACTTTGCCCCACACTCCCTTAGCTGAATCAATTTTCATGAAAAATTATCCCTTCAATTATTCCTCCATTCTCAAACGAAGAATGCATTATAAAAACAGTTCAATATTCAACTAAATAACAAAATATAACTTGTTTTATTATCATTTAATAATAATCTTCATTCTCTATTCCTACATTGCAGTGAATTATATGATGTGGACTATAATTCCGGATTTATCTCTCTATGCGCATAACAAGTTGAAGAATCCTTTGATCGGATTCTATCGTCAGCGTAGTGGAGTGGATCCGGTCGGTGATAGGTTAGTGATATTAACAAATTCGCCAAATATTGGTATGGTTTTGTATATCCAAAGTTTTAATCTTATTGAGGCTTCTCATATGGTTCTCTTACAAATACTTGTCCAACTAAAAATTTCGTCACAAACTCGAGAAATATAAAAATTAACGTAGTAAAATAAATGTTCCAGGTCGTTTGAATGATAAGAAAACCATAAGAAAAGCCTCAACAAAATTAGAATTTTGAAAGTACAAATCAAGATTTGTGAAATTTTCCCGTAATTTGCAGGGTAGATGGATGTGTGGTTACTCCTCAAATGGCACGCGCTCTTGCTTACTCGTTCATTGAAAAATATTCGTCACTGGAAACGAAGAAAGAGGTAATTCGAATCCCAGCGTAGAAGACATGATTAAAAGATACAAAAATGAAATATGGAAAAATACACTCGTTACGTTCTTTAGGTAACTGAGATGCTGGACAATCTGCAAGAAGCAATGGAGCGACATATTAGACAATCCTCTTGGCTCGATAGTGAGACAAAAGATCGGGCCGCTGATAAAATTCATACAATGAAGAAATTCGTCAGTTACCCTGATTATTTTACTGCTGATAATATAGATGCTTATTATTCGGAGGTAAAAGTATTCATAAAAAAAAAAATTGAATTGCTATTCGTGAGTTATCCCTTCTAAATTTTCTTTTGGCTGTAGTTTAAACCTTCAGAGAGTTTTTTCGAGAACGAGATGCAAAAGCGAGCTCTTGAGTTGAAAACTAGCTTCAGAAGTTTGCTAAAACCAACAGATAAATCAATGTAGGTAGAATAATTCAGTAGTGATGTCACCAAATTTTTGATGAAAAAAATCAGATTTTCATGTTTTGTTTAATATTGAATTTTTTGCTATATTTTTATTCTTCATGAATTTCCATTTGATTATTTTGATTATCCTCACAGATGGCCATCTGAACCCACCGAGATTAACGCATTTTATTTACAAAGAGCGAATGCTGTAGGTGAGTATCAGAAATATTATTTAACTGTAGGCATATTATCTGATTGAAAATGCTTTTCAGTGGTGCCCGCTGGGATCCTTCAGACCTATGTTTTTGACTTGAACAGGCCGAAGTAATGAATATTCACAATCCATTTCAGTATCGTTGAAGCATTTTTGTTCACTAAAAGAAATTATGATTTTTCAGGATATTCAATTATGCATTTATCGGTCCAATAATCGGACATGAAGTTTCGCACGCACTGGATAGTACAGGTAAGGGATTGAAAAATCAGAGGCCGGACAGTTCTTTGTATTTTATTAAGTCAAATAATCCAAGAATGATGAATGCATTCAGGGAATTCGGAGAATCGTATTCAGAATTCAATCAACTCTAAATTACATCAAGTCGCTTTCATTGAAATAAACTGTTCTTTACGTATATGAATAAATGGCAATATTCTTCTAGGACGTCTCTACAATAAAAATGGCGATGTGGTGACATGGTGGTCAGAGTCTGCCATTAATAAATATGAACAGAATACAGAGTGTTTCGTCAATCAGTACAGTAGTTACAAAATATACGATGATGGAGAGCAGATCATTCATGTGAGTAATGTGATCTACTTGCTTTGTCATTTATCGATGGAATTTTCAGAATAACAGGATAAAATGATGGCATGAACGATAGACAGAGAACTACGGTTTTCTTGGGTTTAAAATTGAGGATCAAAAACTTGGTCAGGTGATTAGACTGGGCATATAAGATCCGAGAGTGAGGATCAAAAAATAAGATTTGTGTTTTTCGAACCTCAGATCCCCACATTCTTTCACCTTGAGATTAGAAATTTAGTCAGAAATTCCAACTTAATTAGATCCTGTACTTTTTGCTTTACTGAATTGATCTTATTCTAGCTCGACGGGAATCTGACGTTGGAGGAAAATATATCAGATTCTACAGGGCTGAAAGTTACTTGGGATGCGTACAAAATATTCCGTGAAAAACATGGAAACAGTGGTGAAAAAATTCCTGGATTGGAAAAATTTACTGATGATCAAATATTTTTCATAACGTTCGGGAATGTGAGTAATGCAGAAATGATTTCTGCCCATAAATCAATTACTTAGTCTTCGTAACAGATGTTAAATCACTCACTATATGAATTTTCAGCTGTGGTGTTCATCAGAGGACGAGAAGTATCTCAAGCAATATGGTAACGTCGATGAACACAGTCCATCTAAACACAGAGTCAACGGTGCAGTATCCAATAACGCGGGATTTCTGACAGCTTTCAATTGTCCAAAAAATTCCGCTATGAATACCGCAAAAAAGTGTAGCATTTGGGAGTGAACAACGAGACTCAACTATAAAGAATGAGATACTCTTTCAAAATTCTTTGTTAAAATCTTGTATTTGATTGTATTATTCAAAAATATGATAATAAAAATTCTAAAATATGAAATGGCGGTACATTTTGTCTGACTGATCTATTTCATCCTCCTGGCCCATTTGACCCTACTCGCCCCTATAATATAAGTTAGGCGTCTAGAATATATAACTCGATCTCAATATGCTCCATGTTTAATCGAAAATTAACTAAAACCACCGAGGATGAAAAGGCTATTATTATAATACTTGGTGACTATTATTGCTTCAAGAGTAAAAAAAGACATGCATTATAATCCCGCTTCGTCATGCTTTCAATGAAACCACCAAAGACTTTTCAATGTCACCAGCGTTTCCCGTGTGAGGACTATTAGCTAGGTGTTCTCGATCCGCTTTAACTAATAATTGATAATAATCATTGTCTGCATACCTCTCCCTAACGGACCTATGCGAGAGTCAGTAGAGAGTACGGTGAATTCTCTATTTGTTCCACGATTAGAGAGTAAGTAGAGAATGGGTAGAGAGTTGGGGTGACAGGGCAGATTGTCTACTCTCCAATGCTTTGAGAGAGTAGATAGCTGAGGCGAGCGATATGCTGAACCTTATTAACTATGGCCCTTGAGAAATTTGACCCTATAACCGACTGACCCTTGTACTTGGGACATGTTTGAACTCCCGGAGCTCAAACTTTTGAACCCTGGAATGTTTTAAGCTGAAAATACTCTGATTTCATTTGAAATTTTTTGATTGGATCTTTGTGACCCTTATAATTTCAGACCCTTAATATTCCAGAACCGTAAATTGGGACTCTCAATAATTCTGACACTTGAAAATATTGAAAAATGCAACTTTTGACCCTTAAACCTTCAAACGCTTAGACTAGTCGTACTATCTACTCTCTACTCTTGTAGAGAGTAGATAGAGAGTAGATTCTAATTGTAAGAGAATTAGAATTTAGAGAGAAAAAATTTCCGCTTCACCCAGCCGGGAATAGAACCCGGGTGTCCCAGATACGCGCCGGGCACTCTAACCGACTAAGCTACCGGGAAGCACAGAAATTCATACTCAAATTCACCTCAAACACCGCCTGACCTCCTTTAGGCATTAAAGAATTCTAAGAGAATCAGAATTTAGAGAGAAAAATTTCCGCTTCACCCAGCCGGGAATCGAACCCGGGTCTCCCAGATACGCGCTGGGCACTCTTACTGACTAAGCTACCGGGAACCACAGAAATTCACTGTCAAATTCACCTCAACTACCGCCTAACCTCCTTTAGGCATTAAAGAACTCTAAGAGAATTAGAATTTAGAGAGAAAACATTTCCGCTTCACCCTGCCGGGAATCGAACCCGGGTCTCCCAGATACGCGCCGGGCACTCTTACCGATTAAGCTATCGGGAACCACAGAAATTCACTCTTGTAGAGAGTAGATAGTTGGGATCGGATGCGTGGTGGGGGCTACTCTCTACTCTTTACTCGTCTCCAGAGTAGGTAGTTGGCGCCGGGTGCTTGGTGGAGGCATTCAGACCCTTATAATTTTAGACACTTATCGTTGCTTATGGGCCTTGAAACTTGAACCTCAATCGTACTGACCCTTGAAAATGATAAAAGTTAAATTTTTTACCCTTAATATTTCTGATCCTTAGACTAGCCGTACTATCTACTATCTACTGTTGTAGAAAGTAGATAGTTGGTAGCGGATGCGTGGTGGGGGCTACTCTCTACTGTCTACTCGTCTAGAGAGTAGATAGTTGGCGGTAGGTGCTTGGTGGGAGCATGCAGACCCTTATTGTTAAGACCCTTATCGTTCCTCATCATGACCTGTGAAACTTGACCCTCAATAGTGCTGACACTTGAAAATGATAACAGTTAAATTTTTTACCTTTAATATTTCTGACCCTTAGACTAGCGGTACTATCTACTATCTACGGTTGTAGAGAGTAGATAGTTGGGAGCGGATGCGTGGTGGGGGCTACTTTCTACTCTCTACTCCTGTAGAGAGTATAGTTGGCGCTGGGTGCTTGCTGGAGGCATTCAGACTCTTATCATTTTAGACCCTTATCGTTGCTTATGGGCCTTGAAAAATGAACCTCAATGGTACTGACCCTTGAAAATGATAAAAGTTAAATTCTTGACCCTTAATATATCTGACCCTTAGACTAGCCGTACTATCTACTCTCTACTGTTGTCGAGAGAAGATAGTTGGGATCGGATGTGTGGTGGGGGCTACTCTCTACTCTCTACTCGTCTAAAGAGTAGATAGTTGGCGGTAGGTGCTTCGTGGGGGCATACAGACCCTTATTTTTGAGATTCTTATCGTTCCTCATGACTCGTGAAACTTGACCCTTAATAGTGCTGACCCTTGAAAATGATAAAGTTCAATTTTTGACACTTAATATTTCTGACCCTTACACTAGCCGTACTATCTACTCTCTAGCCACGTAGAGAGTAGAGAGTAGCCCCCCCCACGCATCCGATCCCAACTATCTCCTCTCTACAACAGTAGAGAGTAGATAGTACGGCTAGTCTAAGGGTCAGAAATATTAAGGGTCAAAAATGTGAATGTTATCATTTTCAAGGGTGAGCACTATTGAGGGTCAAGTTTCACGGGTCATGAAGAACGATAAGTGTCTCAAAAAGAAGGATCTGAATGCCCCCACCAAGCACCTACCGCCAACTATCTACTCTTTAAAAGAATAGAGAGTAGTGAGTAGCCCCCACCACGCACCCGATCCCAACTATCGTCTCCACTGATCTCTATATAACTGGATAGCCGATCCCTATGGCAGCCAGTGAGTTTATTAGAGAGGTACGCAGCGCCTCCGGATAGTAGTCAGCGAACTAAGATTCTCTCTAGTGCGCATGTCCGTGTCAGCTGCAGGTAGTGGGGCAGTGGTAAATTTACCGAGAGCATTGGGAAATATTATAGGATATTTTACCGTGTAGGACATCCAGAATAACAGACGAACTTTTGTTAATAATCAGTGAAAACTGACATTGTCTATAAACGCGAAAGGAAGCCGAAGCATGGAGGAATGTCGAAATTAGTACAATTGTTATTAATATTGTATTGTTAATGAATTGTATAATCGTTAATAATTTGAAAAAATTGAATTTTTAAAAACTACAAAGAATCGCCAAAGAATGTTATTAGATTTTTTTAATCGTCATTTTTTGCTAGATTTAATTGACGTTTTAGTTTTTTCAAAAAATCAATTTTGAAAAATCAGGATTTAACCCACTGTCTTATGTCAAAGTCCATAACTTTGTTGTAGAGCAAGATTGAAATCGGAATTTTTGTTCGGAGTTTTTAAAACAATATCCATTATTTACTTATAAAACAAAGATGTTTGAAAAGAAAATAATATGTTGAAAAATGTAATTTAAATGATGCTGATTGTGTATGAATTTTTTATAAATTTTTTCACGTAATTTAATGGAAAAATTTAATGATTGAAAATCTCGACATCTATAGTGTGGTCAGTATGAACTTGTAGCCTACTGATGAGCTACTTTAAGGAAATTAATGTATTCAGGAAATTGGGAAACTCAAAATAAATATTCAACTGAATTTATTCGTTCGAAATTTTTTTGTATTTATTAAACTATAATACACCTAGACTGATCGGAATTTATTGATTGAGTATACTATACTAATTTTATCTTTTTCAATTATTATTTACAATTTGGGACGGATAATGTTTCCACGGCCATTTTCCGAGCACGTGGCCCCCACTGCGGCGCGCATGCGCACTGACGTCATCTTTAGTACTTGAGCTACTATACGGCAGCGCTGGCTGACACTTCAATTCACCTCACTTTGAGAGTGGTGGGAGCATAGGGATCAGCTATCCAGTTATATAGAGATCAGTGATCTACTCTCTACAACAGTAGAGAGTAGATAGTACGACTAGTCTAAGGGTCAGAAATTTTAAGAGTCTAAAATTTCATTCTATACATGTTCAAGGGTCAGCACCATTTAGGGTCAAATTTTTAGGGTCATGAGGAATGATGAGGGTCTACAGAAAATAATGGTCTGCATCCCCCCACCACGCACCTACCGCCAACTATCTAATCTCTAGACCAGCCCCCTGACACTCACTCTCATTCCCATATGGCAACAACGTCATCGCTATTGAGGCGCCCGCATGCGGCGCTGACTGTTCTGTGGTTTGCGCGCCTTTCGATTTTGAACCGACACATAACCTCATGAAGTACTCAGCTGTCTTGGTCGTCTTGGTTCGTTCAAGTGTTTAGCTTCAGAGGCTTCCATTTTTATTAATTAGATCACTTGATTAATTCGGCGATGAAATGAGAAAGGAGATAGATTATCATGTGTGAAGTGCATCGGAAATAATTGGAACAGTATTGGAGTGAAGTGAATGTTGTTTATGTGACATTTCTGGCACCTCGATGCCCACCACCTGCGCAGTCCCTGGCTGCACCTCTGGTTATAAACACAATCCCGGAAAATATCATTTTTTTACTGTTCCGAAAGAAGTGGACAAATTGAATAAGTGGAAAGAGGCCATCAGGCGAAACGATTTGGATGGTGGTAAATCCAGGAAGGCAATATGTGAGAAACGTTTCTTGCCAGAACAAATTCGGTGGAAATGTGAACGTTTGGCTTCTAATGGAACAGTTCTGCCCTAGGGAGCAAATAGCCGCCTAACAGCCACCTAATTAGGTGGCTGTTAGGTGGCTACTTGTTTTGGTGTAAAAAAGGGTAAATGATACCTGGAACGATTATGGATGTAAATCTATGAATTATTAATGAATTTTAGTAGCTTTAATGACATTAATTTCCATTAATTAAGGAAAATAAT